GTGCTAATGATCCATTGTTAGGCTGATGGTCCTTCTTGAGCATGTGATCAGCTGGTTCTGGTTGTCAGCAGCAAACTGGTTGATCCACTCTGAGAAGGTGCTATTTAAGAGACTGAGCTGAATACAGCTCCTCAGACTGAGGAAGTCTCTTGGATGAGAGACGAAACGTTTCTACAGTTTTTAATTTTTTTGAATGTCCAGATTGAACTTTTTTAGATTTTTCTACCTGGATTATTGAGCAGCATCAGGATATTAATAACATGGTGAAAACATGACTTTGAAAAAACCTTTTTCCTTATTAAAGGCTAAATAAACGAACGTACTGCTGTTAATGTTTGACTGTAACTTTACAAACGGCACCTCGTACATTAAACACAATCTGCTGCTTCCTCAAACTTTTATTTGACGTGAAAGTTCAGAGTCCTGACCCGACGCATGCTGGAACATGGAGCTGCAGAACAAAAAGAACGTTTCAGTCAAATTAGTTTATTTTTCATTCTCTGCAGGAGAAACAGACGAAACTAATGTGGAACTGAGTTCATAAAAAGCTGCTGAGCTGAATCAAATGAAAGAACTCCTTCATGGTTTCAAATGTTTTTATTGAAGAAGCAACACTGAAAGGTAAAAATATAGAATCGATCTAAACTCAAACTCAAATTGAAACGTTTGACCCGTTTTGGTCTAAAAGGCAACAAACGCCTGAAGTAAACGTGATGCGTTCAGGGGCTGACGGGGGAGTCAGTCAGTGTGCTTTCAGGGTTAGCCTAGCTTAGCTTGTCCAGAAGCTGCAGAGCAGCCCTGCTTAACGTTCTCAGATTTAAAAGGATAGTTTGCACATTTGAAAGTGGGGTTCCATGGTGAAGTGCTGAGCAGTTAATATCTTACCTGCCTCGCATGGCTCTTTGAGGCTTTGGAGAAATAAAGTTTATTTGGACAGAAGTGAGGAGCTAAAGTCTGAACACAGGAGACCATGGAAACGGTTTCAGTTCAGCAGCAACTCAAACATTTTAACGTTCTGTCAACATCAGTTGTTTCCATGGAAACGGACCTCAGGCTGCACCAGACGTGCTACAGCCAGCTGCTACTGTAAACAACAACCAAACCGTCAGTGTTTTATTCAGAGATCCTCTTTGATCTGCATTCAGACTAGCCATTAGCTCATCCGTCCTGTCACAAGCAAACGTTCTCTAAACTGAGGTCGTTCAACAGCCATCTACAACAGGTAAGACGCTTATGATCTCCTGGTGGGTGATATGCATTCCTCACAAGTTTTTACAAAGAACACCACTTGAAAATGGCTGAAATATCCCTTTAATCCATTTATCTTGTGGTTCTACAGTGATGGTGTCGGCCCGGTTCGACCCGTGAAGGCGGACCCAAACAAAAAGCTCTGAGCAGGAAGTGCTGCTGTCGCCATGACGACGTGTTTGTTTCCTCAGCAACAAACTGGAAACGGATGAACAGGAAGAAACAGCAGCCGGTTCTGATCCAGAACAAAAACAGAACTCGGGGTCGTGTTTTTGTTCTGGTTCGCCTGAGCAGCAGCAGAGTTCTGGTCGGGTTCTGTCCGATCCGGTCTCTCAGAACGGAGCAGGTAAAGATGAGAATGAAATCAAAGCATTGAATTAAAGGACAAACGGGTCCGACCGTCCTCCGCACACGGAACCAGACCCGTTCCTGAAATGTAGTTTGGCTCCAGCTGCCTCCGCCGTGGCACTTCCTGTCTTCAAGGTGTCTTTGGACGAGGACAGACGTGGACGCGTCCTACTCCAGAGACTTGGCGAACTCGGCGTAGTCGATGTAGCCGTCGTCGTTTTTGTCGTCGTCCTTCAGGACGTCGTCGATCAGCGCCATCAGGTCGTCCTCCTTCATCGGCTGGCTGCCGTCTCCTCTCTCCTGAGGACCAAAGACAAGCAGATGGTCAGGACGTCCAGCAGGAGGACGTGCGGCGGCTCTGTCCCACCTCTCGGTGGACGTGCGTGATGGCGGTGGCCAACTCGAGGCCGTCCAGCAGGTCGTTGCCGTCGTAGTCGTGCATCTTGAAGTAATGCAGCTGCAGCTCCTGGGGGGACATGTCCTTCTCCGGTTTGTCTATCACGCCGTCCAGGTGCTCCATGATGTGCCTGAGGACAGACAGAACCAGTTTCATTGGACCGAACCGCCACGCCGAGGTCCACCTCGTCCTGAACTCACTCTTTGTCCTGCACCATGTCCCTGTCCAGCCGGCCGTGGGACGGAAAGTGAGACGCTCCCTGGACCACCGGAGGAGGCTGCTGCTGGTGAGGGGACACCTGGGCGTCCAGCAGGACGCAGGACAGGAGGACATGGAGGACACCCACGAGGACAGCACTCCTGCAGCGTCTCATCCTGAGTCTGAGGGGGGACACGAAGATGTCCAACTGAATCTCTGAAGCAAATTAACATTCGAACAAGTTTAAACTTGGATTTGAACAGAATTAAAGCTTTTGTTCAAAACCTCAGAAATATTCAGAACATGAGGGTTTGTTATTTAAAGTTCAAAATATAAAAAATAATCTTCAGATGGAAATTTGAACCAGGCTGTTTGTGTTTTTACAATGTTCTGACATAAAAACTGCATTTCATTTAAAAATCTGATGAAAAACAAACATTAGCATTAGCATAAAGACAGGAGCCGTTTTTAAACAACGGACTAAAAGTCAAAGCTCACGCGGACTTACTCCGTCCGAGTCTGTAAAAATCTCTCTTTTGTTCCTTTTCAATAAAAACGTGTAAATAATTCGTGTCTCCGCCACGAACAGTCGTCTTGTTACCGTGATTCGCGTTTAGCGATCTTAAAACCTTTTGGGACCAAGAGGCTTCCGTCCCTGACGTTTGTCCACGACAGCTCATTCTGATTGGCTAAAATCATCAAAGCCTAAACAATTGAAGCAAGAGAACTCCTGTCTCGTTGTGGTTTTGTCGCTTTTCACCTATCTAAGTTTTCAAAGTCGCAGTTTACAAAAAATCACTGTTTAAAGATTTCCATGAAAAACGAAATTAAAAAGTAATTTAGTGGAAAATTAACAAAGAGCGTAGGTTTGTTAAATAAATCAGGTCTCTCTTGTAAATGAGTCGTGGAGGTTCAATGGGATTAACCTGTACAAATAAAGGTTGAATGAATAAAAGAAAGTTTTGTGTCACGTGACAAAATACAACTATTTTCACTTTGCTCGAAGAGGTTTTTACTGAACATTTTGATCAAATCTATCTTTATTATAAATAAAATATTCATAATACTAAGCACCAGCTGCTCTGTGATCTGGAAATGAAAAGGTGTAAGAAAATAGACATAACACTAACTATTATAATAATAATAATAATAAAAGTTTTTATTATTATTATTGTACCTGTATGTATTAATATGTATATTAATATATGTAATATGTATATTCTGGTTTATGATGAGCTGTTTTTCTTTTTTTAAACAAACATTGTAAAGGAAGTTAACGTGGCATACATCGAGTTTTACATAAAAATCTGGGAATAATTAGGAGAGAAAAAATAAAACAAAACAACTTGATTATATAGTTAATGATTATAACTTGATTATTATTAGAGTGGTCAAGGTCGAGAGCTTCTGAAGCTCTCGACCTTGACCACTCTTCTTCTTCTTCTTTCAGCTTTTCTCTCTTCAGGGGTCTCCACAGCGAGTCCTCCTCCATGTCACTCTGTCCTCACTCTGTCCTCTGTCCTTACTCTGT